TACTGCCAATTATCTTAATGGACTTTTGATGGAATAAGTTAATTCAATATCGATACACCGACGCATATGGTGTATGTAAGTATGTTCTATATACAGGGCCGGTCCATATGGGCAAGGTAGGCTACTGTTCAAGGCGCCAGCATTTTAGGGCGGCATTTTGGCAAATTTTCTTTATTTGTTTATTTGTTTAAATATATAAAAAACAATTTAATCACTTTATTTATTTCATAAACGTCATAATTTCATATTTTCGCCTTTTAATACAAATTATAAACAACAACGAGAGTATTTTTATTTTTGAATAGCAGAACGTGGTAATCTGCTCACAAAATATCACTTATTTAACTATGTTTGTAATACATTAGATTAGATGGTCAATTCACTAAACCAAAATCGTAATCAGGACACAAATACCCCACAGACTTCTTAAAAGTACGATAATACTAAAATAACAAACTTTTCAACTGTACAACTGATTACAATAATTACTCAAATCACTCCTATTGCAATTTAAACCCAGCTGCATTTTGGATTAAGTTTCGTTATATCTGAATGCATTGTCGATATCAACCCACAACACATCAAAATAAATTTCGGTTGCATTTTTGTAGGTTTTGTACTCTTGTAACCACTTGCTACAGAGTATTATAGTTTTAATGACATAAAGGTTGTACGTATCAACCGAAATCCGATTGACTGTCTGTCAGTCCGTACAAGCTGTCACTTGAGTCAAAAATTGAGATATCTCGATGAAACTTGGTATAAAGCACAATTATGAATTCTACTTGATTCGTTCAGTTTTCAGTACACAAATCAAGAAGCAATTAATTTAACGGGATACAACTTTGCACGAATAATGTCTACAGAGTGGGCCGTCTTATGACCAAAAGTTCTTTAAGTCCAACAAAAACTGTTCAAGCCCGGTAGGCTATTGATGCCTACCGATAATAAAATGGGGAATTCGGTGTACATTTACAAATTTTATTTAAAAGTCGTTTAGTTGTCACTAAAACTTTGGCCCACTTTATGTTAGAGAGTTCAGATGGTTTGTTTGATTACGAAGGCTTCTATTTACGCGTACCACATCAGATTTTGCACCAATATTTTAGTCATCGTAATATTAAACAAATTTAAAGTTCATTTTAATAATTATTCACATTTCCGATTGCAATAACGAACACTAATTTTCTGCTGTTTAATTATATGTCAAAYCTTCTTTTTTTTTAGGTTGACAAGACCAATGAAATTTCGACCTAAAATAGTTGAAGTTTATAATAAAAAAAATTAAAAAAATGTATATGTTAAGGTCATAGAATATAAGCGCTTTTTTAGTAAAATACCCTTAATAATTATATAAATTTATAAATTTTGTTTTTACAACTTAGAAGGGGTGCAGAATTAGGCATTTGCCTAGGGCGAAAATTTGGCTCAGAGCGGCCATGACTATACATACATATGTGTATATAGGTACATTTCTGCCTGTTATGTATACGATAACGTCCGTATAAAGAAGCTCATCGTCAGGATTTCCCAAGAAATTGTAGTCAAGAAATTTCTCAGAATAATTGTGAGTTATTTGTGAAGGCACAAATCGCATATTTTACTAATGGCACAATAAATGAGTTGGAGTAATACTACTTAGCTATTAGCCCAATTTGCATGCCATTATTCATGTGAAATAGTCCACAATCAAAAAAGAACTGAAATTATAACACAGCTAAATTGAATTCAATTCAACTCCAATGGATTATTATCACACAAAAAGTGCTCTAAATAATTATTGAGTGTAATATGGTGGGACGTAAGGCTCTGAAATTTAATATATGTTTATTACTTAAATAAACAGTTATGTATATGCAGTTGCAATAGCTTGCGTAAAAATCAAGTACAGCCTTCCAGAAGTTTGAATGCATTTCTTTGCCTTTGTATTAACATAATTAATTTTCGAAAAGTGGAACTAATTATTATTAAATCTATCAGAAAATATGTTTGCTAAAAATCACGTAGATTTCATATTATATTTTCATGAGGAAAGATACTTAACCCTTTAGTCAGATCAAGTTATGTATATTTTCCAGTTTAAGACCTCTTAATGATTTCAAATCATATTAAACAAAGTATTATTATTTCTTAATTGAGTTATAATTGCCAAAGATTAAACATCCGGTATTGTGCACATCACGGTTTGAACCCAAAAATTGTCCTTCTATTATTATAATATTATTTGAGTCATTAAATTAACCAAAATGTCCACAAATGCTTCAATGTAATACATGCAGTTTATCTCAGCAAACGACAGATCTCATATTTACTTATTTATATATTAGTTTGTCAAAAAAGTCTTGCGGTATTTTTGAGGTATTTTTGTTGAATTTTGAATTGTTCATAAAATTTTTTTTGATGACTCATGCCCAGCTCTTGACCGATGCTACGGCTACTACTATGCCGGTCTCTTTCGACCAATTCAGCGATTTTATCGCAATTTTCACAGGGCAGGGCTTCCGGAGCGTGGCGCATCTTCGACTACTTCTACACCAGAACGAAAACGTTGAAACCATCGTTGTGCGGTGGAAATGGAAACTGTATCGGGTCCTTAAACCGCACAAATTTTATTTTTGGCTTGAGATGCATTTTTGCCGTTATCGTAGTAGTACTGTAAAATATGCCGCATATTCTCTTTATTTTGCTCCATGTTTGCGACGCTATAACTCACGAACGACTTAAAAGAAGCGACAATCAATCAAGCACGTGTTAGCGCGTGAAATGAGCTTTCCAAAAAGGTATAGCATGACCCGATGAGACGAATAAAACTAGAACTACGCGCTCTCAGCACCAACTAGCGAAAATACCGCAAGACTTTTTTGATAACCTATTAATATATACATGGTATATAAAATTATGGTGAAAGCCCAGCATGAAAATAATTTTAGTTTCAACCCAACTAGAYGTAGATTTGGAGAAGATATGATTACTAACTACA